CTTTTCATCTTGGAAAAGAGGAGACTAAGGGGGGATATGATAGTGGTATATAAAATCATGCGTGGTGTGGAGATAGTGAATAAGGAAAAGCTATTTATTTGTTCTCATAATATAAGAACTAGGGGCCACCAAATGAAATTAATGGGCAGCAGGTTTAAAACAAATAAAAGGAAATTCTTCTTCACACAGCGCATAGTCAATCTGTGGAACTCCTTGCCTGAGGAGGTTGTTAAGGCTAGGACTGTAACAGGGTTTAAAAGACAACTAGATAAATTCATGGAGGCTAAGTCCATTAATGGCTATTAGCCAGTATGGTGTCCCTAGCCTCTGTTTGTCAGAGGGTGGAGATGGAAGGCAGGAGAGAGATCGCTTGATCATTACCTGTTCGATTCACTCCTTCTGGGACACCTGGGATTGGCCACTGTTGGCAGACAGGGTACTGGGCTGGATGGACCTTTTGTCTGACCCAGAATGGCCATTCTTATGTTCTAAGTGGTATGAACTTAGATTGGCTAACCCACCAGTAAGTGGTGTAGATAAGTCTACATCACACTTTACGTATTTCCTCCAATTTTGACCCATATTGCTTTGAAGAAGTCAAAAGAGAATAATGGATATCAGATCCTAAGGGCGCATCCTCCTCTTAAGCCTGAGAATGCTACTAAAGTATGCTCTGAAATATACACTAGAGAATGCATGGGCATAGAATTCGCTTGTTCTTGCAGCACATAAACTTGATAAGGAGATAGGCTGAGATTTCAAAAAGCCTGCAAGGGGCTTCAGACTGCCCCTTCCTATTTTAATAAGGACTCAGTGTCAAAATCATTTGTGCAGCTTTGAAAAGCATGCCACCCTCTCCTTCTTCCTCCCCTTACACCACACCTCCACTACGCAGAGTAAATGGGTAGTTTCCCTGCACAATTGCTCTAGGCCAGGGGTGGCCAACCTAAATCTGAGAAGGAGACAGAATTTACCAATGCACATTGCCAAAGACCAACAGTTCTATGTCACCAGCCTGATCATCTCCCCACCACCTCTCTCAGCACATCCTGCCCACTGGCAGCCGCACCGGTCAGTGCCGCCTCCTCTTTTTCCTCCTGCCCGACTATGATCAGCTCTTTCGCACTGGGAGACACTGGAGGGGAGGGGGGGGGACATGGGTGTGACAGGTTCAGGGGAAAGGGTAGGAAGTAGCAGGATCCTAAGGGGAAAGGGTGGAGGGGGAGAGCGCCTAGGACAGAGCTGGGGGTTGAACAGTGAGCACCCCGTGGCCCAGGGGAAAGTTGGCACCTGTAGCTCCAACCCTGGATTTGGTACCTATGTAAGGAGCTGCATATTAACTTCTGAACAGCCACTTTGTCTCTGGAGCCACAGGTTGGCCACCCCTGTTCTATGGCCATCTGCCTACTTTGAGTTGGTTGCACTGTTTGGGGACATTCTACAGCTCCCACTCTGTTAATTGAATTTCACACTTCATGAAGAGAGCACTATTTTTAATCATAATTATACGAGCCTCCTATAATACTCAGGGAGCATTAATGGCTAGAGGAGGGTTAGTGCATAATTTGATTTATGTTAATTTTTTAGAACAGCAGCTCCACTTTGCTGAATACATTTGCCCTTGGTACAACATGTTCATTTATAAATGTCAACATTACAACCTGAAAAATATTGATTAAAACATATCGATTGAAAAAACCATTAAATATCAAAGTGCAATTAATATTTGTTGTTATAAAGACAATTAAAAAAAGAAAAATTATGCCATCCTATAAAGAAAAGCAACTACATATTTATTGTATTCACGTTGCCAGTACAAATATTGCTCTAACTCTGGGAAAGCATGCCTCCAAATGCGTAAATGATGTACCTGAAAATCAGTAGAGTTGAACCAAACAGTCATTAGTATTAAAATCTTGTTTAAACACTTGGCAGGGAACTTAGCCAACATTTGCAGGCTTGTATAACTGAAATAATCAATCAAATTACAAACTGAGGAAGCAAATGTGATGTAAACTGGATTTTATGCATTTAGGTCCCTGAGTGCATATTAAAATTTCACCCACTATTCATTTTGATTCAGTGTTATTTGTCACAGAGTTACTGTGGGCAATTTATCAGCCAGCAGAGCATGGTTTCTAAATGAAGCCCCTTCCCATACTCCATTGGGTAATTTCTTGGGGGTATCCAAATAGTTAAAGATTCAGGGGGGAAATTGGGGAGGAAAAAACTCTCTCTTAATTGATCTGCCTGGCTGGGGAGGAGAGACAAATGAAGCTTGTCAGAAAGGGCACATCTACACAGCAGGGCTAAAATCGAAATAAGCTACGCAACTTGAGCTACGTCAATTGCGTAGCTTAAGTCAAAATAGCTTAATTCAGCTTTTGGTGCTGTCTGCACAGGAGGAAGTCGAAGGAAGAACACTCTTCCTTAGACTTCCCTTACTCCTCGTAAAATGAGGGTTATAGGAGTCGGAGTAAGAAGTCCTCCAGCTTGAGATTATTTTGACATTATATTAAAGTAACTGCATGCTGTGTAGAATCGGACTACGTTGTTTCAGAATAATGTCAGTTATTCCAAAATAATGCTGCTGTGTAGACATATCCAAAGAGTAATAAGCAAACACTGATGAGCTGGAGAGGATTTGCATGAGTCTCAACATAACATTGAGCTGGGCCACGCAAATGGGAATCTTGACTTTTTAGAAAAGTTTCTAGCCAAGTAGTTTGCTGATCTATTCTGAAAAGTGTAATGAAGGATGACAGCGCTCAGTCTCAG